TAGCCCCCAAGAGGGCCCCAAGAGGCTCCCAAGAAGCCCCAAGGAGGCCCCCAAGAGCCCCTAAACTCCCCCGCAGAGGCCCCCGAGAGCCCTCTCGAGAGACCCCAAGAAGCGTCCATGAGGACTCCGACCCAAAACCCAAGCACGGTCGCGGGATGGGCCGACGGCCATTTGATAGCTGGCATACGCGCCGCGTCACGACTGTCGATGCTGCGCACCACTTCGGCAAACTCCCAGGGAGCGGCTGGTGATGCGCCGCCGGCGTCCTCGATTTGAGGCCCTGGAGCTCCTGGAGGGAGGGGGGGCAGGAGGAGAAGACGACGACCACGACCACGACGACGGTGGCGGCGGCAGAGACGGCGGCGGCGACGACGCAGCCGACGGCGGCGGCGGCGACATCGCCGACCATGACGACGACTACTGTGACGAGAATGGTGCCATCATACGATTGAGTCAGGACACGTCGCGTCGTCGTCGTCGTCGTCGTCGTCGTCGTCGTCGTCGTCGTCGTCGTCGCGTCGTCGTCGTCGTCGTCGTCGTCGTCGTCGTCGTCGTCGTCGTCGTCGTCGTCGTCGTCGTCGTCGTCGTCGTCGTCGTCGTCGTGTGACGAGAATGGTGTCATCACGCGATGGGCTCAGGACGCGTCCCGAGCTCCCTGGAGCTCCCGGAGAGGGCCCCGAGGCCCCTCGTGCCCGGCCGTCCGCCTCATGGCCGCGGTGGGCATCGAGAAAGCCTGAAGCCCTGGGCTCGCGTCCCGGCCATGACGCCTCGGGGGTGGACAGACCTCCTACCCTGACACGTCGACTCAGGAATTGGCCGTTTTTAGGGGTTCGCGAGAGGGCGTCGCGGCCGTCATTTTTGCGGGTCCAGGTCCGTCGGTTTCGGTCCCAAGCCGTTTTCACTGAGGGGAGGTCTGCTGAAGGGAGGTTTGTACACCGCCGAGCGTCTTGCTCCCCAGAACCCCGACGTCGTGATTTCTGTTCACTGCGTGGGCCCCCTTTCCCAAGGACCCGCTCTTCGTCTCGGGCCGTTTTCTCGCGACGGCGACCCGTGCGGGCGCCTGGGAGCATCCGGAGGAGGAGGAGGAGGAGGAGGCGGAGGTGGAGGAGGAGGAGGAGGAGGAGGTGGAGGAGGAGGAGGAGGAGGGGGAGGAGAAGGAAGAGGAGGAAGAGGAGGAGGAAAACAAAAGAAATGGCAGGAAGGATGAGAAGTGAGGACAGCACAGCGGACTCCCCCCCCCTCCTGACCTGGTGATCCAGGGGCCCTGGCTGGGGGCCAGGGTGGTTTTTACGAAAAGGAGCCATCCCCATCCCCAGCAAGGACCCCCTGGATCACCATGTCCGGAGGGGGGGTCCCTGGCTGGGGGTGGGGGTGGGTTGTGCTGTCCCCACAGACCCTGAGATCCGAACATGCAACATCGCAAAAAATCACCTCCGGAGCCCCGGGCCCCCTCTGTTGGCGTCGTTTTTCGAGCTGGAGCGATCTGTGGAGGTCCCGGAGCCCGACGCTAACCGAAGACGCTCGTTGTAAAGAAATTGCAACGCCAAGAGCTCAGAGGAGGACACGACGCCGTGTTTTTTTTGTTCTAGCTGCGTGTTCGCTTACCCTCACCATCGCGCTCGGCGCACGTAGCTTGTCCTCCTTAGCCTTGCTGCGGGCCCGTGCGCGCCGAGGGGTGCTCCAGCGCCTGCTCTGCCGGATGGTGGCGTCGGCAGAGGTTGTCTGATTCCTGGCGATTGTTTTCTCTGGACGGGGCTCGACAACTACTTGTGGGGTCCAAAACCCGGATAGCGAAGCCTCCTCGTCTTCCTCCTCCTCCTCCTCCTCCCCTGCGCTCCGACGCTCCAAACAAAAATGGAGCGGCGGGATGTTGACCGTCGTCGGTCTCCAGGGACACTCGCCGGGCCCCGGGAGCGTCCAGAAACAGGCGGGGTAGAGAAGCTGGTCCCGGGGAGGTGGCCCGGACCTCCAGGGCCCACGCATCGTTGGGCGTTGCGTAATGGAGGGGTCATAAATATCAGGAGCGAAAGAAGGACGTACATGTACATGAATCCACGCTGGTTTCGAGAGCACGCATTGCACAAATGTTCGTATAACGCGGCCAGTCTCGCGAATCGAGGGGCCGTGTTCATGTACATAGCTGGGCGCGTACGTTCTTTGTGGGCTCCCTAAAATAGGGGGGTGGCGAGGGTGGTCCGAAGAGGTACCCAAAGGGTACCTGAACGAGCCCCCTGGGGCTCCGGAGGGGCACGAAAGGGGACCGTTTCTGACCCCCCCATTTGTGACCCCCCCATTAAACCACGCCCAACAGCGAAGCAATCGGAGCAGCCGGAAGTCTGGGTCGGAAACTGACGCAGAAAGGTGGCGTTTGGGGCTTCGGGCGTGACGTTCCCAGACCTCCGACGTTGTGATTTTTGTCACAACGTCGACCCCCAGAGATCTGGACCCCTTCCCCGACGTCGTGATTTTTTGACAACGTCGACCCCCAAAGGTCTGGACCCCTTCCCCGGGACCGGTTTTTCATCCTGAGTCGTTGTTTGACGGCCCCGAGGCCCGGGGAGGGCCTCCAGAGGGCGAGAACAGCGAAAAGCCTCCCGTCGGCAACACCCCAACATACTTATACTATATGTGCGTCGCCCCCCCAGGGGCGACGCGCGCACCGAGAAATCTTATAGTATATGCGTCGTGGCGGGCGCTTTCTGGCCACACCGCTCGGGAAACGATATACTACAAGATGGGTATACTATATGTTCGGGTCGGACGCGCGCCTCCAAGGAGGACATATAGCATTAGTATGTCCATGTGCGTCCCATCCCGTCGTGAGTTTTCCACGACGCGAGGAGGTCTGGGTTCGACGACGTGCTGCAGCGCTGTCGCCGCGCCGGGTCCTCCGGCCGGCCGAGGCCGGCGAGCGCGGCGCGCGGTGTTCCCCCCCCGCGGGTGCGCGGCGGAGTGCCGCGCCGTGCCGCAGGTGCCCCGGGCGCGCGAGCAGCGCCGGGGCGTGTGCCTTTCTTCTCGGCGGGGGCCATCGAGGAGCATGCTCCAGATTTCGTATATCAAGGGAGGGGGGTCTCGTTTCGGGGGGGGGGTCCTTTCCAGGCTCTCTTGGAGGGCCCGGGGGGTCTGGGGACGATGTTTTGGAGGGTTCTCCCACGGGGGAGGTCTGGAGGGTTCTCCCACGGGGGAGCATCGCCCGGGCGTGTGCATTTTTTTTCGGCGGGGGCCATCGAGGAGCATACAGTGCGAACGAACGAATACCCAGACCTCCTCGCGTCGTGAAAAAATCACGACGGGAGGTTTTTCGCTATTTTCGGCCTCTGGAGGCCCTTCTGGGTCCTCGGGAGCGTCAAAAAACGACTCAGGACGAAAAACCGGTCCCGGGGAAGGGGTCCAGACCTTTGGGGGTCGACGTTGTGAAAAAATCACGACGTCGGGATTTGGGTAAGCCGCGCCCTGACGGCGCATCGGCAGCAACTGCAAGTAAAATTAGCACATGTGTGGTACCATGCAGAAGAGGACGCTGCAGAGACGCTGAGCAGCAGCAGTGCCTCGGTCGACAGGCGCTCGGCACTTTGTCCATACGCTGTGCGAGGGTAGGCTGCGCTGCACATGGAGAAGGGGGCTTGAATAAGGAACACTTCCTTTTCAAAAGGGGCTCGGTCGTTCCTTAGGCTTGCATGCGTTATCTACAGTTCCTTATGCGTTATGTGTTACTTATCGTTACTTATGCGTTATTCCTTACGATAAAAAGGGCTTCGTTCCTGATTTATCGTTCCTTAGGTCAGGCCGATGACTGTATTTAGGGGAACAGCAAGTGACATAAACATAAACATTCGGAGGTCCGCGCGGATTTCTCGGATCGGCGCTGGACCCCCCTCCCTGGCGCGCGGAGCGCGCCAGGGGCGGCGCCGGAGGCGCCGCCGGGGAGCCCCAGCGCCGATCCGAGTTTTTATGCTTATGCCACGTTTTGTTCCCCCTAATATCGGGTCGGGGCGAAAGGGGGGGATTGGGAAAGGGGGGTTTTACGAAATTTGCTGCATGCAGCTGGTTTCGGCCCCACCGAGGGGCCCATTCCTCGATACATATCGCCTCCTGGCCCGGAGGACGCCGGGAAAATCAGCTACGTGAGCTGATTCTCAACCCCCCCTTTGCTATCCCCCCCTTTCGCCCGACCCGATAATATGGATCATCGAGCAGAAAGAGTCGCACCAGGACCGAAGAGTGCACGGGCAGGGGACGTCCGAGCGACGGCACGAGGCAGAGCTGCCTCTCGGCAGGGTGCCTCCTCCTTCTCCTCCTCCTCCGCCCCCCTCCTCCTCCTCCTCCTACCTCCTCTCCTCCTCCTCCTCCTCCTCCTCCTCCTCCTCCTCCTCCTCCTCCTCCTCCTCCTCCGCCTCGCCATTGCTGGATGTCCCACGGCAGCTTCGCGTCGCCCGGCGTTCCGCGCCGAAGGCCGCAGGCGGCCCAGAATCGGTCGACGTGGAAAGATCACGCGGCCTGGAACCAGCCGGTCTTTCCAGGTGGAACGATCCTCAGGAGAGGAAAAAACACACACAGGCACCATTAATCTTCGATCCCTCCGAACATCTGGGAAAATATGGGAGGTGGCGGGAAGACAGAACCCCAGAAAATATTGGAAAATAGGGGGCATAGTTTTATTTGTGCGTATTTATTTGTGTGTCCTGGGGCCCCTTCAGATCCCCACGGTGTCAGGAACCAATGCCAGGGTCGGCACGACGCGAGCTTGCCGCAGTCGTCCTCTTCCCGGCCACATCGGTCTCGTCATCCGCTTCGCTCTTATCCTCGTCCGCGTCCTCATCACCCTGTTCAGAGGCCCGAGCCACAGCATGAGCTCGGCCCGCAATGTGATCACCGTATTCCATGCTTAGCAGATGCTCCGCTGCTTCCGCGTGTCTTCGGTGCTCTGTGGCCTTCTGAGACTGCGAGCAGCTTTAGCACTGCAAGTCTCGCCCGAGGATTATGAAAATGGTGAGATGCCGATAGGCGTCTACAATGGCACTTACGGCTATCTGGTCGCGCTGCCGCGCAGATCTTATCCGCCACCGCAACTGGGGAAACAGTGACGCGACGCTGCAGCGTTGCTCAGCTGACTGCATGTTGCCAAGTGGGGGGCGAAATGGTAGCACCTCAGAAGCAAGTGTCTGCTCATGTAGGGCGTTCAAGAATTGGCCTCCCCTTCGGCGCGTCCTCGCCCTCGTCGGAAGCCGGCGGAACGACGACGACGACGACGACGACGACGACGACGACGACGGCGGCGCGGAAATTCGGTGGACGGTGGTGGAAGTAAAAGCGAGACTTCAACATTAATGGGTTCAGGGTTGCCGGAATCTTCGGCCGTGTGTATGGTGGGGTTTGGACAGGCTTCTCGGTGTGACTTTTCTTGGGCGCCCAGAGAGCACAAAGGAAGCGCCCGGAGCCATTCCGGGGCCTGCCAGGTGCCTGCCAACGGGGGTGGGCAGGTTTGCAGACGTCGGCGTTTGGCAGATCTCGGGGCCGTCTGGAAGGACCTTCGAGGTGCCAGTGGCGAGTTCGGGCCGTCTGGGGGCCATGCTTGGGACATCTCGGAGCCGTCGTGGGGGACGTATTGGTGCAGTGTTAGGCCGTCCTTGGGATCTTCCTGGGGCTCTCCGGGGGGATTCGCTGTTGGGGGCCGTCTGGAAGAACTTGGGGCCGTCCCTCTCCAGGCCGTGCTGGGCCCGATCTGGGGCCGCCTCGGACACGTCTTCTCCTCCTCCTCCTCCTCCTCCTCCTCCTCCTCCTCCTCCTCTTCCTCCTCCTCCTCCTCCTACTCCTCCTACTCCTCCTCGTAATCCTCCTCCTCACCTCCTCCTCCTCCTCCTCCTCCTCCACCTCCTCCTCCTCCTCCTCTCCTCCTCGTCTCCTCCTCCTCCTCCTCCTACCTCCTCCTCCTCCTCCTCCTCCCTCCTCCTCCTCCTCCTCCTCCTCTCTCCTCCCCCCTTCTCCTTTTCCTTTTCCTCCTCCTCCTCCTCCTCCTCCTCCTCCTCCTCCTCCTCCTCCTCCTCCTCCTCCTGTGTTGTCTTGGGGCCGTTCATGGTCAGCTCAGGTTGTCGGGGCCAGTGGAATGCAAACTGCGCATCCACACTTCGCAATGCGATGAGTCTTCGCGTCGGGAAGCAAGGTAGTTGACGGGGATTGCAGAGAGTATGGGCTCCTGTTTAGTGGTGGCGGAATGCTCATTGCTGCGCCCGGGTCAACACAGCTGGGACTTCGAAGTTAGCAATTCCTGACGTTTCGCGCACCCCCCTCTGGCTCAAGCCTTCTCGGCCCGAGCCCGCCCCTGGTCCAGGTTCGCGCCGGGCTCCCCGTCGAGATGGCTTCCGGCGCCGCCCTGCGGCGGCGGCAGCGCCTCGCCGCCGCCGCCGCCGCCCGGGACGGGCCGCCCCGCCCAGGTCTTCCGCCTGCCGCTGCTGCGGCTGCTGCCACCGCCGCCGCCGCCTCCCCCCTGGAGGCCGGCGCGCGGGAGGCGGCGGCGGCTGGCGGCGGCGGCGGCCGGCCCAGCTCGGCCCCCGCTGGCGCCTGGCCGCCGCCGCCCTGGCTGCGGCGGTTGCAGCCGCCGCCAGCCCGCTGCCGCAGCCTGCCTGCCGCTGCCGCTCCCCCCCGCGGCGGCGGCGGCGGCGGTGTGCGCGGCCACCGCTCCCCTCTCCCTCCGGCGGCGGCGGCGGCCGGCGGCGCCGTGGACAGCGTGACGGCCGCTGTCGCGGCGGCCGCTGCTGCCGCCGCTGCCGCCGCCGCCGCCGGCGGGGAGCGGTGGCTGGCGCCGCCGCGGCGGCATGCCGCTTGCCCGGCGGCCTGCCCCACGGCCCACCCAGCGGCCAGCCCCCTAGTGCTGCCCGACTGCCAGCCCCACGGCCTGCCCCCTGTGCTGCACGACTGCCAGCCTCACGGCCTGCCTGGCTGCCAGCCCCACGGCCCGCCTAACGGCAAGCCCGTTGGCCCGCCCCGTGGCCAGCCCGACTGCCAGCCCCACGGCCGGCCGGCCGCGGCCTGCCCTACGGCCCGCCCCACGGCCAGCCCGTCGGCCTGCTCGACTGCCGGCCCCTAGGCCAGTCCCACGGCCAGCCCCACCAGCCCCACCGCCAGCCGGACGGCCAGCCCGACGGTCAGCCCCGGGGCCAGCCCGACGGTCAGCCCCACGGCCAGCCCGGCGGCCAGCCCGGCGGCCAGCCCAACGGACAGCCCCACGGCCAACCCGACTGCCAGCCCCACGGCCAGCCCGACGGCCAGCCCGGCTGCCAGCCCCACGGCCAGCTCGACTGCCAGCCCCACGGCCAGCCCCACGGCCAGCCGGACGGCCAGCCCGACGGCCAGCCCCGAGGCCAGCCCCGAGGCCAGCCCGATTGTCAGCCCCACGGCCAGCCCCACGGCCAACACGACTGGCAGCCCCACGGCCAGCCCAACGGCCAGCCCGACTGCCAGCCCCACTGCCTGCCCGACTGCCAGCCCCACGGCCAGTCCGACGGCCAGCCCAACGGCCAGCCCCCCGGCCAGCCTGGCGACCAGCCCCGCGGCCAGCCCGACTGCCAGCCCCTCTGCCTGGCCGGCTGCCAGCCCCACGGCCCGCTTGACGGCCAGCCCGTTGGCCCGCCCCGCGGCCAGCCCGACTGCCAGTCCCGCGGACAGCCCCAGCCCGACGGCCAGCCCCGGGGCCAGCCCGACTGCCAGCCCCGCGGCCAGCCCTGCGGCCAGACCCAGGGCAAGCCCGACTGCCAGCCCCACGCGGCCAGCCCTACGGCCAACCGGATTGCCAGCCCGACGGCCAGCCCGACTGCCAGCCCCACGGCCAGCCCCACGACCAGCCCGACTTCCAGCCCCACGACCAGCCCCTCGGCCAGCCCCACTACCAGGCATACGGCCAGTCCCGCGGCCAGCCCAATTTTCACCCCCACGACCAGCATCACGGCCAGCCCCACAGCCAGCCCGACCAACAGCCCCTCGGTCAGTCGGACTGCCAGCCCCACGACCAGCCCCTCGGCCTGCCCCACGGCCAACCCGACTGCCAGCCCCGCGACCAGACCGACGTCCAGCCCGGCCGCCAGCACAACGGCCTGCCCGACGGCCAGCCCGACAGCCAGCCCCACGGCCAGTCTCATGGCCAGCTCCACGACCAGCCCCACGACCAGTCTGACGCCTCCCCCGACACCGTTCCCGGCGCCCAACCTGACGCCCTACCCAACACTCTACTTGAGGCCTTGCCCGACGCCCAATCCCACGTCCAGCTCCTCGGCCAGCCCGACGGCCAACCCGACGGCCTGCCCGACAGTGAAGCCACCCTCCAGACGGCACCGGGAAGTTCCACCGCGCCCACGCGTCAGCCTTTCCCTGACGAGCGGGACAACGAAGCCATTTTACAGCTGGTGCCGACGAGCCCTTTCGCCCACATTCGTGCCCCCTCCCCTGCCGCCGACTCGACACGGGCGGGCGCCTCTACAAGCAGCCGCTGGGCAACCCCTGCATCCCTGCAGAGCGCGCCAGACCCCCCCCTCTCGGGTGGGTGCGCGAGCTCGACCGCCCAGACGGGCTGGCAGCCCAACCGGGGGGCATCCTTGACGCGTCGGGCGGGAAGTGGGTGGACGCCCAGGCTGTTCGCCGATCGCCAGCATCCAGGACCACGGGACTCCCACACTGGAAGGCCGCTCTATAGCGCCCGGGTCCACGACTCCCAGTGGGAACCCCGCGGAGAGTCACCAAGCGAGACGATCAGGCACCGTCAGGTCACCCTGGGTGCGTCGTTCACAGCCGTCTGGCACGATTTTGCCGCGCAACACGCTGCCCCTGGCACCGCGCGCGCTTTCGACCCGCGTCGGCACGACCGGCGAACCTGCGTCGCCTTCTTACCTCATTTCACAGCCACAGCTGCGATGTTCGGGCCATGAGCGACTCACTGGGCCTGGGTATCGACTGGGCGCAGGCGCGTGGACAACACCTGGGACATCACGTCGGCGCGAACAGGGGGCGCCCGGCACCCCCGCGAGATGGTCAGAATCTCGTGGGCGCCGACATTAGCCGCGCGCAGTGGGGTGGGAGCGCTCTGGGCACGGCTGGGAAGAGGAGCCGAGCAACCGAGAGCCCATGGACCGAGAAACGGTATCGGCAGTAACTCCGAGTGTGGGGCACCACTCAGTTTCGCTGATATGCGGTTTTGACATCGCACCGGGCATGTGGACTGGCAGCCCACCGTGATTGCCCCTGTCAGCATCAACTGCTCGAGTATATGTTTATCTCCCCCCCCCCCCTCCTGTCACACCGCGTGCCTGGCGCGTGCACTTCCCCCCCCCCCCCTCCTGCATCCTAATGCTGCAGCGGTTAGCTGCCACACCCGGTTGCCTGCCGTGCCTGGCGTGCATTCCCCCTCCTCTCATCCTGCATCCTTATGCCACAGCGGTTTGCTGTTGTGCCCACACCGCGTGCCTGGCGTGCACTTCCTTCCCTCCCCTCCTGCATCCTAATGCTGCAGCGGTTAGCTGCCACACCGGGTTGCCTACCGCGCCTGGCGTGCATTTCCCTTCCTCTCCTCCTGCATCCTTATGCCACGGCGGCCAGCTGTTGCACCAGGGTGCTCTCCCTCCTGTTTCACCGGATTCTTCCCTGGCGGCTGGGGCTTGATGCCCAATACTGCTTCCTGACGGCGTTCAGGTGGTCCGGAATTCATGCAAGGGTTCACACAGGGAATGGTGCTGCGTCATTCGCTGAGGTCAGGTGCCCCCTGGCCTGCCCCTGGCTGGCGTCGGCCCCTACTGATGACCGCAAGGTTCCAGTGGGTCTCTCGCCACACTGCCTACCGTACCTGGACCTCGGGTTCGGCAAGTGTGGCTCTGTACGCTCGTTGGCCGACGTTCTCCTGCATGGACCTCGCTTTCGACAAGTGTTACAGGTTTTACTGCCGTTTGCGGTCTCGTCGGTAATGAGGTTTCCCCTCTTCCCTCCTTGCGCCGACACGATTGTTTGGCATTTGTGTCGCCTTCTTCACGGTGTCGTCTGGGTGTGCCTGTCG